GATTCTACTCCTGTGAACCTTTGGAACTTCATTCAAAGAACAAAACCCTGGTTTAGCTCTGAGTACACATAAGTAGAGTCACCACAAATTATATATGACTTTCATTAACCATCTGTTATGGTTTGTGTCTGTGTGTTCCCCCAAAGCCTCATGCAGTCATGGGCTTTGTGGGGGCAAAACCTCATGCAGGCTTTTAGAGTTTGATTGATTATGGGTGTGAGAGCTGCACCGGCCCTGGGGTGGATAGTTTGCATATGTAAGGGAGAGGAAAAGGGTGCTTGCCACCATTCCTTCCTCTTAGTGCTTCTTGATTCTGCTGTGTTCTGCCGCCACGAGCTGCAGCCCTCTGCCATGTGCCACTCTGCCTTGTAACCTGCCAAGTATGGACTAAAACCTCCACAAACTGTAAGTGAAATAAACCTTTCCTTTCTTAATTTTGGGCATCAGGTATTTTGTCCCAGCAACAAGAGAAAAGTAACCAAGACACCATCTAATATCCATCTTTGCCTCCACACGCTCCTGACAGGCTCACCAAACTCTCTTGCCTTACCATGTACAAACACTAACTCATTTCTCATTGCCTTCTGACAAGTTTGCCTCAGTCCAACCAGTGAACCATGTCATCCTAAGATATCTAGAGAACACAAAATCCCCAAAAGTTAGCTACTCAAAGACATAGACCTCCATTCCATCAATAAACCTATAAATAATTATGGGGATTTACGTCTTTCAGGGGGAAATGAGGTAGCAGATTAGGGTCATGGCAGGCTGGCTGGAAAACAGAATGTGACCTGTTAATTGTGAAGATCCAGATCAGAGGCTAGAAATAGGAAGTATCTATGTAATTTGATACAAAAAAGATGTAACCTGTCAATTACAGCTGGTATGCATGGGCAGGGCAATTTGCAAGGGATTCAGTCTGGAAGGATATAAAAGGCAGCAACTCTTGACTCTGTTGTTACTTCAGTCTTGCTGTTCTACTGTGCTTTTCTTTCTGTAGTGGTCTGTCCTGCTCGCAGGATGTATCTCTTCTTGTTCTTCACTCTTTTCTTCCTTTCTTCACCTTTTCTCTTTTATTTGTGGTAAATAAAAGTGTTTAATTTTTCTCAGTTTTCCTGGCTAGTTCTTTGGATAGGATAGAAAGAGCCTGGAATCTTTGGATACTGTCCCATCTGGCAGCACAAGGACAAAGCAGAGGCAGAGCTCTAGTTTTCAGGACCGAGTCTGAGGTGCAAGAGAAGATGAAGACCAGATCAGCTCCCAGGCTGCCAGTGGATGAGCCAAAATGCTTGAGGCCCAGAAGCCTGAGGCCATTCACTAAGGAGAAGGGAAGAAGCTGAGACCTGTGGTCAGTGGATGCTGAGCAACAGCAACGTGTCCCTAAAGTGAGCGGCCATGTTGGTTCCCAGAAGACAGCAAAGGTGCTAGTGTGTGAGGGGTGCTCCAGAAAGTGCAAAGGGCCTTACAAGCCTTGGGTGCAGTGGAGCTGATGGGGGTGGCTAGAAGTCTTGGGGTCTTAACATGATAAACTATAATATCAACAGTTGTAACATCAGAGCTAAAAGCCGTTGGCACTCAGGGTTCCAAGCTCTGGCACTAAAGACTGAACCGCTGGCACTCAATGCCATGAGCCACTAACCTTAAGGGAGCAGCATTTTGCCAGTTGAAGATTTAACTCCATACTGGACAAATAACCTCAACCGACTGGTAAGAGCTTTTCATATTGTGAGGACCTGTTACTTGAGGTGGGACTTTGAGATGGAGTGAGTGATCTTTGAAATACAAGGATTTATTAAGCCCTTAGACATGTTGGCCATAAAAAGACTAAATCTAGGGGCAAGTTCCCACAGTTGCCAACAGCAAGGCTAGATAGCAGATTTAACAAATGGCCACTGGGCCTACAGCTAAGAGTGTTTGTAAAATAAAAGATGAAGAAAGGAAAGTGTGAGTTGCTTACATCGAGTGTATATCAACCATAGACAAGGTGGGTAGGATTGTTGGAGTGGAGAAAGTTTTGGGGAAGGAGAATAGTTAATAAGAAGTAATGGCTGTTTCTGGATTGGTTAGGGATGTAAGCAGGATGTAATGGTGCCTGCCAATTGACAATTTAGGATTCAAGTCAAGGTTTTTGCATTCATTCAAGAATGTGGAATAGTTCTCTTTATTTTGTTTGGCAGCCCAACTGTTAACTATTTGTGCCTCTGTCTTTCCCTCTATCCTCCTGCCTACCAAGAGATGACATACATATCCAGGGCTAGTGACACTGGTGGTAAAAGAATTTACTAGAAATCAGAATAAAAAGATTAGACTTTATTCAGAACAGAGTACTCTGGCAAGAAGGACAGCAGGAGAGTTTCTGAGAGAGGAATTGGGCCATCAGAATGAGATTGGTACTTTCATAAGGGATTGAGTACATGGAAAAAGGGTCTTGGCAGAAAATACAATTATCTCAAGAATGTCTTTCTCTGGATCATCTGGCTCCTCGTAGGTCATCTGGGAGCACCTGCATTGTACCTAAAGTTACACATTCAAAGTTGTAATTTGATCAGACTTTGGTCTCACAGAAGGCCTTCTAGCTTTAGATAAGGGTGTCTATATAACTTAACTTCTGGATAAGATGAGACAGAGCTCAGCTCATTGTGAGGAATGAACGGGTCATTGATTTGTTCTATGTTGTGTAGTTTTTGGTCAGTGTTACTGTATTGTCATACGCTGGGCAGGATGGCTTCAACAGAGGAATTTTCTTGCTCAGTATTTTAACCTTTTAATTACCAACTGATAATCACCACATGGTCCCTATAATTAAATTTAGGACTCTGTAGTCTCTGTTTCCTGTGCATTCACTCACTGCCTGGAGGAGTTTTCTGAGTAACATTTTCACACTTACAAATTACAAGTGGCAAGGGAGCCTCGTTTACATGCAGGGTGAGAGAGACTCTACAAAATCCATCATGTAACTAGCCTCTTCCTCTCAGCAGGCAAAAATAGTTGCTTTACTAATTTATTTTCATAACCACATGCTATCTCAGTCTCTTCTTTAAAGAAGACAACCTGGACAACACAGGCTGGGGAGGGAAAACTCAGTGTATTTAAAAACAGACACTGCTTGAATCCTTTATGGTCCTAGTCAGATCCTTAAGCTCCAACTTCTGTCTCTCCAAGGTGATAATTAGGTATTAGAAGCTGGCTGTGTGAGCTCAGGCAACAGCCTTTAAAGGCTGTCTGGATTGAAAGAAAGGCATTGCATAGAGCTTTTGACAGAGAACCAAGTCTCTCACATCTAGTGTCTTCTCATCTCCTGTAGCTGAGTTCCATGGCTTCAAAATGAGCAAGTGGCCAACTGTCTTGCCAGATCCTTTTGGATGCCTTTAACTTGAATGCTATGAATGGGTGTGATATAGTGCTTTTAACTTCTTAACAGAGCTATTTGTTATTTGGAGGGAAGTTGTTCACAACATACTGAGAACTATTTGATTGGGATATAAGTTTAACAACTAAACCTTTACTTTAACCTGCCAGAAAAGGACCACACAGGTCAAGAGAAATGAGGAAGTTTGATTCCAACCCAAGACATCCAGTGATATCCAGAGTTGCCTCTGCTTTGGTTGGTTTTGCCCCTGATCATTCTGAGTGTGCACTGTTGATGCTGTACTCTTGTGGCTCTGCCTCAAAGGTATCTTCCCAGGAAGAGAGGGCTAGTGTCTCAGTGAAGGTTGCATGGGTGATCAGGTGTGGAGAAGGACATTTTATAGCTTACCTTTCAATGTATTACCTATTTGGGACTTTGAGCCTGACCAAGTCATGAGTGTTTGATTCTGGAGGAAGTCTAGCAAAGGCATTAGTGTAAAAGAAAATGATAGCAGGACCTTTGTCCTTGTGGAAAGCTGCTGGGACAGCACTAGATGTTTTGCTGAGATATGTCCGAAGGAATGATAACATGATGGCTAACTAAGTCAAAGTCCAGTTCTTGTGGTAATTAAGTTGTATTGTTCTCGCTAATCCTGTTCATGATTCCTCCCATTTCCCCTGTTGCTGCTTTTTACTTGTATCCCAATAAAAGGCTGAAGAAAATTGTAATCAAGACTTCAGTCCTAGAGGCTTCAGGCGTCTGGTCCCATAACTTTGTCTCTCTTGTTTTTCTTTTCATCTGCAGCACTTCGTTCTCGGGACCTGTCAGCTCAGACAGAAACTGACTTTACACCAACAATCAGGACTTCCTACTTCCAGTCCTTTTTCAGATGCTGCAAGATGGTTCCATGTGATTGCTATGCACCAACACCCAGGCAATGGGGATTTGGCTATAGAAAAGGCACACGTTCACATTCTGAAGAGGCCTTCACATTGTCTTTAGCTGGAGAAGGCATTGTACCTTGCTATGCCCTTTGTCACACATTATCTCTCACTTAATTGTCAAACTATGAGGATGACAAAGTAAAGATTATTATATGTTTTCCGGATAGAGGCAGACTCATTCTATCAGGGACTTTCTTTATAGTCTATAACTGGGGCTGGGACAGGAGGCTTATTTCCCTTCACTGAGGCTGTCAGAAAGGGAGCTAAGCACTGGAATCAAAGAGGTGAGAGACCACTAGGAATAGGATGTGGGTTTTCACTACAGGGGCTCTAAACTCCATTGCAAGGGCTGGAGGACAAAGTCAGTAGTTAAGCGCTCTGGACCAGGCATAAGGAAAACTGGGGAAACGGCATCCAGTTCTTCACTCCAGCGAGGTGCTGTCATGTTTCAAAACAGACCCCAAATTGCCTGCTCTTGAGGTATTTTTCCAAGAGAATCTGGAAATCTAGAATTATATGTAGATTCTCTTAGTTGGATGTTAAATGTTAGCAGCTAACTAAAATATTTTTTAAACAATTATAGGCAAAAAAAAAAAAAGCAGCAAAATAAAGCCAAACCTCCTGAGTCTCATTTGCAAACTGTGTTCTTTCTAAGAGTAAGTAAGTAGAGTATTTTTAGGAGAGATGCACCAGGGCATAGACGGTGGTGGAAGTACTTTTATTTCCAGCAGGATCTTTCATCTTTTCCATGTGTGTGAGGGGTACAGAAGGACAAAGGGGTGAACAAATGGTTGGAACCAGGCTACACAGAGATAAATTGCACATTGTCACTCTTCAGTATGATGATCTGAACATCTACTTTTCTTCCTTTTAATAATAGTTCTCACCTTTTCCCTATCTACTGCCTCACGGACGAGGTCAATGCACAAATCCCCACTCCCACCCCAGGCTCCCACAGTTCGCAGCCTGGGACAGGGATTAAATACAGCTCATTAGGTAACATTTCACTTTCCCCTCCTACTTTTTTGTTTTTGTTTCTTTTCTTTTTTTTTTTTTTTTCCAGTATTGGGAATTGAACTCATGACCTTGCACTTGCCAGGCAGGCGCTGTGCCGCTGAGCTAAATCCCCAGCCCTCCCCTCCTTTTTAAGAAGGATTATTGGAGCCTAAATAAGTCAGATGCCAAAAGTATCAGAATGGCTTTCAGTTGGCCTTATTTTTTAAAGAAACAGATTAATCACAGACATTGGTATTTTAGTTGTCCTTAGTAATGACTCACTTGGGACCCAATTCATAAATGTCAGGGCAGTGTGGTTAAGAACTGTTGTTTATAGAAATAAAAAGTAAATATGAAGAGATACGGTGAACTTCTTGGATACCAGCATTCTCCACTTCTGTTATTCTCAGTCAGGTATGATACACTGGATTGACTCTCCCAGCTTATAAACTCAACTTTATAGTATCAGCCACAAAGATTTCAGGAATATCACCAGAATTGACTCTTAAAATAAAACAGGAGGAATAAAAGATCACATTCCAAAACAATCAGTGAGTCAGAACACGAATGATCTAACCTGTTCAACTCACAAGAGAGAACTCCAGCTGGGACTGGTGTTTGGATGATGTTAAGCTAAATTCTGCCCCACAGATAAAGCAGAACCAAAGGTTTCCCATGTTTTCCATGTTCTTTGCTCAATGAATTGATCCAGAAGAGGCAGAAAATGAATAGTGAATACCAGAGCTTTCCTGTTACCTCCTAATTTGGCATGATCTATTTCCTTTCCGTTGCATTGAAGAATTCAGAAAGTGGGACTAGAAACCAAACTCAAGGAGAAAAAGACAAAGAGGTGACTGGCAATCTGATACAGTGTGTCCCCTGAGAGAGAGGTGTCTAGATCTGAGTCAAACTAGGATGAAATCAGAGCAGAAACAAGTCTATTTTTACTCTAGGTCACCATAGGGAACAAATCTAACCTATTTACACGTGATCTCAGGGGAGATGTCTTTAAATAGCTATCTTGTCGCCATCCTTTTCATCATCTTCCATGATCACTTTGGGTCTCTCGTCCCTGAGCAGTGTTACACCTGTAAAACAAAGCACAGACCTGCAATTAAGGGCATCTAATTAAAATATTAGCATAGACAGAGTGCACAGGAGTGGTCTCCCCAGAAACGCTTTTGCACCTGTACAGAGAGAAAGGGTGCCGGGTGACCTGATTTGGCCTTCCCAGAGGGGCTCAATGAGGACACCACTCTGGGCTTGAGTGGATGCGGAGCTGGGGGTCACAGGCAACTTTTGCCTTCATTCCCTGAGCTCTGCTTCCAATCTTGCAGTACAGAAGGAGGGAAAGCATGTAGATTTTGGGGTTCAGTGCTTTGGGCTTGTAGTTAAACCACTGTTTAATTTGTATGAAGTCAGTTAACATTTTCCTATCTAAATATTCTCATAGATAAATTGAGGACATTTGTACTCATTATAAAAAGTTACTGCGTCTGTTAAATAAAGCGTATGTAACGTGCTTAGCAAGGAGCCACACCTGTGGGCAACTAATGTTAGTTTTTCCATTTCTTCTACAACTTGCTAGTTTATTTCTCTTTTGAAGGAAATCAGTAAACCTCATGAAATCAAACTTAAAATCATTTTAGCAACATGTGGAGAGTCACTGAGCTGAGACTCTGGATGTGCTGTTTCCAAATGTCACTTGTCACAGGTGATCACGTCCACAGTTTAGAGCAAAATGAGAAAATAAGTTGCTCATACAAATTAAAATGGTTCTTTGTTCTGAGATGATAACCTTCCTACTTTTGGAGGTTAAAATATCCTTTCTTTTATATAATTTTAGAGAAATCATCTGGTTGTTCTTGCACATCATTACAAGGTAAAATCAAAGGTTGTTGTTCCATTTCCTACGTTGGGCTCCATAATATTTTATTTTAAAAAGTTTACTGGTCTATGAACCAGAAATCTTAATTTCTTTTTTTGGTACCAGGAATCAAACTCAGGACCCTGCACTATCAGGCAGGTGCTGTCCCACTGAGCCATATCCCTGGACCTTCATTTCTTTTTAAAGTATGATTTCCTGGATGGATTAGTTCTTTAAAGATCAGTCAAGGAGGCCTGGTTCTGCTCATCCTGTGAAGTTGAAAGCAGGAAGCATTTAACTGATGGACAAAGGAAGCTGTCCTCCAGCTTCATGACCATTCCTTTAGAATTTCTGTCATCCCAGTCCAGCCCCAGGTTTTGTTTCCCCACCGCTTCCTGGTACTGCCTCCTTCCCTCCTCTCCTAACTAAGCGCCTTCAGTCCCTGAGGATCTCAGAGACCTAAACTAGAGGGTAGAGGCTACGCACCACAAGAAGCCTTTCTGCAGACTGGACTCCACTCAATGCCAAAAAATTAATGGAAACTATGTGTAGCCTTCCAGAAAACTCATTGGACTCTGTTCCTGGTTTGTTCAAATGGGCTCTTCACCAATTTGCTGATATTATCGGAGGAGAAAAACAATTTCAAGAGTCTGGCTGAAACTAAGGCTTTTAGATCAATCACTTATGAACCACAGTGAGAGATATTTTCGCTTATACTGTACTAGCTTCAGGGAGGTTAGGATCTTATTTGGAATTAAAGCAAGCATGGTAGGAGAACTTTGAGTAAGCTATCCTGAGCACCTCAACTCTTCCATCTTTTCTGGATGCGTCTATGTCAAACCAAACTCAGGTTGACTAAAAATAACTTGTTTCTCTCTCATCCCATGATGCTCTAAGGTAGACTTAGGCCCACGTTCTTTCATGCTCCAGTGATACACTGCATGAGCCTTTGTTAAAGCACTTTTCATGTTGTAGGAACCGTGGAGAAATACATCTGCCTTCCCCTGTGGTTCTTAAAGGACAGTCTACCATCTGGCTCAAAACCTGGAATATAATAGGGATTTAACAACTGTCAGTTACTTCCTGTTTCTATACAGGTACATCCAGGGAACTTAGATGCTGGAAGACAGTGTGTTTTAAGATCAAGGCTGCTTATCTGGGGTCTCTGAGAAGCAGTGAGCCTTGAAATAAGCTGTTTTTAAACTGGATCCCATCTAGGGCACCATCTAAAAGTGGTCATCCACATTATACCTGTGTGCCTCTTAGCTGGGGAGATCAGGGTAAAGATATTACCTGTCCTAATAAATCACACCAGAGAGAATGCTGTATTCCAGCAGGACAGGAGAGGTGTCATTGTCAAAGGACATGCTAGTCACTTTCCTTCGTACTAGCGCAATGTCTGATTTTCATTCTCTGGACTTCCTGAATGTGAAGTTTTCCAGCTAGCTCCTCTTTAAGGCCCTCAGCAACATTATTCTTTGCTTGGCTTGGCTCCCTTTGCCATAAACCTCAAGCTAAATACTTCTTTCTCTCTTAAGCAGGCCTGGGCTCCCCATATCTGACCAATCACAAACAGCACTCCCTGTCATGCAATCACTAGGATGGGGGTCCTGGCAACCGTGGACCAAGTTGGGAGCGAGCCTGAGCCTGGCAAGGAAGCCTGAGGTGACTCCCCACGGAGGGGCTATTCTGGCAGTAGGAACTTGTCAAATTAGCTCATTAACTTAGGGGAATGAAGGTGGTTAGCAGGAGATTTAGAGAAGAGTGTGAATCCATGTCCAGCTCTCACTTGCCAAGGGCTAATGAGAGGAGATGTCTCCAGGGTACATTTTTCTGTGAGATTTTCTCAGCACCCTTATTAGAACCAAAGAGTCTATCTGAACATCTGCCGAAGGCTCTATCCTTATCAGCTTAACTAGCATTTCGATTACTGCCAAATCTTTAGATACTAAAAGGCTCTTCAAAAGTAAAGCACTTCAGCTAATATACTAATAAAAGCTAGAATCATACAACAACATTGGTAATTGCACACATAATATGGAGATTTGCTGACTCAAGGAATTCTGTAATGCCTATTGGGTCTATGTGTATGCAGAACCCCTCCAATTCTTATATATGCTGCAATATTTGACAAACGTTTTTGACTCAGGAGGGAAGCTGCTCTTTTAGGAGTAGGTAGTGGCATGTATGCAGCGTCTATTACCAAGTGATCAGAGCTCAATACTTTAGAAAGCATTGGATCAGCAAATTTATATGAAGAGGTAAAATGCTTTGTGTCTAGGAGAATTCTTATCTTCAGAAATTATCTGACTTAAAGAATGTAAGATTGAACAGACAATGGAAGGGAACTAACGTTTATGGAGGACTTTCAATAGGCCTATAACCTTTACTAGTGTTAAATGTTAACAACTCTTTGAGACAGATTTTATGGTCCCCTGTCTGGGATAGATGAGAAAAAGGACATTCTTATTGTTTATGTTAAATTTCCAGGGCCACAAAAGTGGTAGGAAGCAGAACCGAAAATGAAATCTCGACCTTTCTGGTTCCAACGCCCATGTTCAATTTTATATACTAGAAAGAATCCCTGCCTGTATATATTTTTGTCTCTCTACAAAATAAATACAAGAATGGATATAAGAATAATCAAGTACTGCAGAACTGTGACTATCAAATAGAATATTGTCAACACACCCTTATTGAGCACTACCAGTAGAAAGGATTGGGTTAGGTATTAAGGTCAATATTAGAAGCATATGGTTGGGGCTGGGGATTTAGCTCAGCAGCACAGCACCTGCCTGGCAAGCGCGAGGTTGTGAGTTCGATTCCCAGTACCAGAAAAGAAAAAGAAGCTTATGGCAATCACAGTCCAGAGTCTGTATGAATTCATCAAGGTAGTTGCTAATATAAGTCAATTTAAATAACAGCTACAATAACAGTAACAAAAACAATAACGACCAGATTAAATAAAGTCTTGGTCACTTGCATGCCCAGAAGTAATACAGAGTTAGTGTAGACGAGAAAAACATCATTTGTGAAGAGATCTGTTAACAGAGGCTTCGAGCTGGCTTAGTCTTCAGAGATAAGAGGGAGCTGAACAGAGGTGGAGTTTTGGGAACGTGTGTGATCAGCTGGAGGATTTGTGTATGCAGGGATGCTGCTGGCCTGTGAGAAATGTGGCTGAGCAGGTCCAGATCCTCTGTCCTCAGTCCATTTCTCTAGAGGATTGTCCCTTCATGCACCCTGCTACCTTGTCTTGCTCTGCTCCTTACTTGCAAATCTGAAAATGCACAGCACAATCTGTTTTCTCTTTTCCTCTCATTTGGTTTGGGTACAGAATAGTTGACAGAGGCAAAAAAAGAGAGAATGAAAATTTTAAGGAACAGTTACATGCAATTGTAAGGGAGAATATCCCACATTGCAGCATAGCCTTTAGAATAAGTAGACTTTGATGGGCAGAAAAAAGTTCTAAATCAGGTTTTGTTAATCTGGATCTTATAAAATCAAAGTGATTCTTTTGCTATAAAATTTGTTGGAGATTTTATTTATTCCTCCACCATGCAAATATCACCATGTAGTAATTCTTTTTTCCCTTGTGAAATAGTTGGAATTAATATATTGTGGTTATTGGCTATTAATTTTAAATTAGTTATACAAAGGTCTCTGAACCCCTTTTCCAGTGGTAAAACCAGTCTGAAAGAAGAAAGGGTACTGCCCAAAAGCATGTGTGGATGGCCTCTTCTGTGGGAGACTGTGGTAGCTTACTCTTTATGTTTGTGTTAGAAGTTAGAGCAGCTTTGTCCTTCAAGTCTTATATGGGACAGAGATCTGTCACTGGCCATCTCTATTGGCTTCATGTTAATGGAAGAAAAGACCAATTCAGGATGCCATGAGGGCTGACAGATTTTGCCCAGGGAACTAATAAGAGGAGTCCTCAGAGCCTTCCCTTTCTCTGAATGAGCTAGCTCATGGTGTCCAAGTTGCCTGCCTTTGAATTTTGGGAAATCTTTTATTCTGCTTCAGATCCAAGTAGTGAGGTATTCTATTTCCCCACCCAGAGGGTAAAGTTAAGGAAGAAAAGGACTTTCTCTGTTTTGTTTTCCAGGGTATGCCTAACATTTGAACAGTGTCTGGAATATCACAGATACTCAGTATTAATACTGACTGGGTAAAGGCTAGAGATGTTTCCACTTTCAGACACTTGAACTTGTCCTTTAGACTCAAATCCTCTTCACTCAGTTGTCCCCCTACTTCCCTCCTCACACTTCCTTCGGGTCTATGCTTAAATGTTCTCTCCTCAGAGAATTTTCTCCTGCACTCCCGTGTGAAAGAAGCAATCTCCAACTCCCTCCCTTTCCCCACCTAGTTTTCCTTTTCTTCATAAAATTTACTCCAAGCAGAGTAATTCTATTATCTGTTACCTGGGTGACCACTGACTTTACCCTAAAACCATGACTTAGAATATAACATGTGCTCAATAAACGTTTGTTTAAAAAATGAAGATACTGGGGCTGGGGATTTAGCTCAGCGGCACAGTGCCTGCCTGGCAAGTGCAAGGTTGTGAGTTCGATTCCTGGTACTGGAAAAAAAAACAAACAAAAAAATAAAATAAAAGAGAAAAAAATGAAGATAGTTTGAGGATTAGACTCCTACATGTCCTAAATTTCTTGTATTATCCATACATTTATATTGTATCAGAAGGCTGCATGTGTTCAGAGCGCAGAAGAGTTGGTGTCTAGAAGTGTGTGTGTGTGTGTGTGTGTGAGAGAGAGAGAGAGAGAGAGAGAGAGAGAGAGAGAGAGAGAGGCAGAGACATGGTCAAGTTGGGACACATACCCACTTTTCATCTTGGCATACAAATGAATGATAAAGATGGATGAAAAGCAGATGTAAAGAGGAGGAGGGAGAGGAAAATGAGAAGAAGGCCAGAGAACACAAACCCTATGGAGTTTGGGCCTAGACTTCAGAAATGGCTGGAGAGCTCAAGTTACTGGGTTACTGATGGCTTTCTTCATGATGTCTTATTCTGAGCTATCTTTCGAATTTTGTTCATTAAATGAAATAATAGAAAATGTTTTTAATAACAAAAAAATGCATTTCCTATCAAAAGTATAACTTATACATCCTCTTCTTAAGAGTACTGGTGAGTGAACTTCAAGCCCTTGCAGAGCCTTCCCATTCATCTTTATACTATTTTTTACTTGGAGACAGTGTCACATTAAGTTACTATGTGGTCCGGACTGTTCTCCAACTTGCAGCTCTGGTGCCTCAGCCTCCAACGTGCAGAACAGTAACTTTTGCCTTCTTACAATTGGAAAAGTCTGAACCACAGAATAGTATTGTGGAAAACTGGCCCAAAGGGGGACAGGCTTGGTTTGAGCTCCAGCTCTCCTTGTAACAGTATTTGATCTTGAGTGTTCATTCATTCGTCTCACCCCATCATTGATCCAAACAATGAACTAATTGGCCATCCACCCCTCTGCTTCACCCACATGAGTGTAAAGTGAGTAGATAAATTACAGTCTCTCTCAATTTCTGTATCTGTGAAGGGAGATAATCGTTACTGGTGTGCTATTCAGATGATTGTTAAAAGTCCAGGATACATGCCACACCTAACATTTGCTAGGGTCTCATTCAGTATCAGTACATGTCCCCCTTTCCATCACTCTCCTTACAAAACCATTCACAGTCTTTTCTCGTTCTGTCTCTGTCTGTCTGTCTGTATTTCTATTTTTCTCTTGCACACACACACATACACACACAACTAGTCTCACATACCAATCTTGAATTTACATGTGTTTTTTTTTTTTTTTTTGGTACCAGGAATTGAACTCACGACCTCATGCTTGCCAGACAGGCACTGTGCCACTGAGAACTTTCATGTCTTATTTCTCAAACTGCACATAAACTTCTCAGGGATAGACTATGTCTCCCCCTTGTATCCTGAGGTTATAAACATAGTTCATTAATTTTTTTATTTCCCTTGACACACGTTAAGATAGCTATTAGTATTTCCACATGCTCTCTCTTTCCCTCCATCTCTTTTTGCTCCCTCTCTCCCTCTCTTTCTCCCTTTCTCCATCACTCTCTAACTTGTATTGAGATTAGTCCATGCAACTTGGGAGAATAAGCTACCAGTCATAAGAGACACGGACCACATAGGAGTAGGCTGGTGGGGAGGGTATCTCATCTCTTCTCAAGGACCCACTGACATTTCCATTTCACTGGCTCAGTGAATTTGACCAGTTCTGCTGAAGCATGAGTAGTCTGGGAGCCTCCTTTTTTGTCCAGATCACCCCAGGGGAGCTGGCAATGAAGCAAAACCTGAAAGGCAGCAGTAAATGCCATATCTCCCCAGAGGACTTGCATGTGACACAGCATGCTGGGCCAGGACAAAGGCCATGTCCCTGGCACCTCCAGATGGTGAGGCTCCCGACTGGTCCCCCCACCTCTTGAAAATGCCCTGTACCAGCTCTTTTACCTGCTGCAAAGGGGGGCACGTGCAGGGCAGGTGTGTCTTTTCTCCTTGGCTTTTTCTGTTCCAGGTCAGTGTTCTGAAGAGCTGGGCTCATTTTGCTCTTTGGATGTCTCTCTTGAATATCGTATCTTTGAATTAAATGTTCTGAAATCACACCTACATGGTTAGGGGAAGAGAGAGGGAAACAGGTTCAAACGCACAAATACACACTAAGGTAGGAAGGCTGCACATACACGTATATTTGCATGTATACCCGGTAAAGGTAGTTAGTGGAGGACTTTAAGCTTATTTCACAAAGAGTAGTACTATCAAGGCTATATCAGGGACCTCTATACAGAAAAGTTTGGAGCCTGATTTCATTTTAACCTCATAGAATCCCAAGAAATTTAATATTACCATCACTATCACCTATCTGAGGAAAGTGAGACAAAAAAATGTACCCAACTTACTACAGCTCACAGGGGACAAACAGGAACTAAGCCTAGATTTGTCTCCCTCCAAATCCCATCCTCCTGAGCCAGAGCGGATCATCTGCAAGCTGAGTGCAAACTATGTGCAACTCATGTCCTCCTTGATAAGGTAATTATGGTTCTGCCTCCACCCAAGGCTTTGCCTCGCCACCTTCTCACTTCTACTATACAGGTGAATTTCTCTCTACAACTCTCTAAAATAGCCATTTCCATGAGAATTTTCACAACACACTGCCCAGACTCAGCTCCAGTGGTCCTTATCTAAGAACCTCTATTACAGTATTTTTTTTTTAGTGCATATTTCAGAGTGTACTGCTACTTTGCTTTCCTATACCTTTAAAGTTTCCTTCCCGAAATGATCTTCCATGTTACATTTGTTTTGTATCCCCAAAACTATGGGAATAGAAAGGACATGAAGTAAATGGCCCAAAGTGAAAGGGGACAGGGAAGAAAGTAATTTTAGGAAAGAAGGAAGCATCACATGTCACACCCAAGGGTGCCATAGAGACTTGCTAGGAGCTCATCAAGGTGCTTTGCTTTTCTCCAACCCTAGTCTCCTTCACGGTTAGGTGGGGTCTGCCCCACATGAATCTCTCCACCAGTCTTTCATCTGTCTACATCTCACCGTTGCTGGATGGTAACACTCACTGTGACTTTAGAAGCTCAGAGTTTCTTTTTTCACTACGTATGTGTTGATGATCTCAGAGCTCATCAGCCTGGATCCTGGAATGACTATTTGGAGCACTGTGTGCCTCCCCTGCCTCCAACTTCCACTATCAGTGAGACAAAAAGATGGCATTGTGTTGAAAAGGTGGTATGGTATTAAGCCATTAACATTGTAGAAGTTGAGTTCCCAAATATGTCAAGAGAAATTTGTTAAGACCAATGTGATCTAGCAGCAAGTGGTTCTCCTTTATAGCTATGTAAACCAACTTCCTTATCTGTTACCTGGGATAAAAGGGGGGATGTGCAGGGCAGGTGTGTCTTTCCTCCTTGGTTTCTTCTGGTCTGACTCCTCATTAAGGGTGGGCTGCATATTTTTCCCCTTTCTTGGCTTCTTTTTGAGATCGCAGCCCTTAATGAACTGATCTGGAAGATCATCTGATTTTGACAAACATGAAGACAAAAAAAAACAAGAGGAATCTGACATGATTGAGGGTCTAGCTCCAAACTGGTTGATTTCTAATGATACTTGATCACAGGGGCAAAGGTAAAATGTTTTTGAAAAGGCAAATTGTTTATTTATTTTGGTCTCTTCAACAGAAGGCCTGAATAGCCTTATAAAAATTTCATAAAATTCTGATTGAGAGGACTTGAATGGATCACCAAGGCAAAGAGCAACTTAAAAATAAACATATGCTGTGACTGAAAGGTTTTGGTAATTTCATCCAATCATTATAAATTAGGAAGCATTTATTGAAATCGTACTATATGTACAGCAGTGGACTATACAAAGTTGGTGGAATCAGTGATATGGAAACCGATATCATTTCAGCATGGGAGGTGGGCCAATACCTTTTCTGAATCATCAGTGTCTATGCTTTCCTGGTTGTTAAGTTTAATATAATTCATTATTCCATTTAGTTCCCATACTAAGCCCACAATGACAGTGCTTTATTATCTCCAACTTGCAGAAAAGGAAACTGAGGTTTATGGGAGGGTACACCGGAAGCAGGTCATGGGATCTGGATTAGTCAGGGCCTTGGAACTATGCATCTATCACAAAGCAGTTGTTGAAATTTGCTACCTCACTGCACCATCAACTTCTGTCCAAATTACACATCCCATAGATATGTGTTGAACTCATGAATGCTGCTTAGAATAGGTGCTGCCCAGCTGTGGGATATGTGGATTACAGCGTGGACATAGACCTCTTAGGGATGAACTCTCATTTGACCCAAAGTTTGACCTGTGCACAATACAGAGAGGAAGACACTCACTTCAATTCTGACTTTTGCTTCAATCTTATTTCCCCCCATTTTTGGAGAAATCCTGAACATAAAATATCTTGATGGCAACTGAGAAGAGGGGGGAGGAGGGGGAAGTCGTAACCAGGCAAGGCATAAACAAAGGCTATGAATATGCAAAAGGCCCATCCATCAAAAGTCTGAGTGTCTCATTTTTAGAAATGGGTAGAGGCAGAAATGTTTCTGGTATTTTCATTACAAAGGTTATACAAAAAGTCAGTTCTGGAAAGGAAACAGATTGACAATAAAGCAGAAGAGGGCTATTTAAAATTCTGTCTTGATAGGCAAAGAGAGATATTTGAAATATTTTATTGGCACTGCACATGGGGTGTAAGTGCCGGGAAATACTGGAAATAAGCTATACAGTCATGTACCATTGATTGCCTCAAAAATTGCCTGGGACTCTGTCAGACCCCAAAAGGAGCACAATGCCTCCCTTCACATTCTCTCTGTCTCTAACTTTAATGAACTTCTCTCCAGCGCTTCAGCTAATATTTACAGGGCAGACCCCACAGGCCCGTGGCTCGTTGCCTGTCCATCTGGTGTTGGCTGTCACCAGAAGGCACAGACTATCAGGTTTCAGGCGGCCTCTCTGACTTGCCTGCAAACCATATGGCGCAGACACACCCTTTCTGATTTTCATGACTGACATTCACGATGAAGCACTTACCCAAGTGGCTGCAGCGAGGGTCTAGCTTGTCCAGTCTGTCTTCTGACAGCTCCAGGGGCTGCATTTGCTCAGTAGACATCATCAAAAGAGACACGGTGTGTGTAGTTCTTCTCCAGCACTACCAAAGTATAAGAAACAGTCTCTAAGTGGGCCTTCTGGTAATTCATTCATTTACTTGTTCAGTAGATATATTTATTGAGTGAATATGTGCTATAACATTCCCAATTCAATCCTGTTTTTTAGGTCTGCTTCTTATAGTGAGCTACTGAGTTAAAATTGAAACCAAACTCAAATGAATAACCCATACACATTTATCAGTAACTGCCACTAATCTAAGGTTCAATATTAGCCCATTTTAAGAGCTTCAGAATAAATACTTATCCAGTCTGAAGTAGAAATGAGTTGGCTAATAGTTACAGAAAATCTTGATCAAACCTCACTTGTGTTTCCTTAAAATGTGCAAAGTAGGATTATGTCTTCTTCATGGGTAGTGAAACGGAGGCTTACACAGTTTACTTAACTTATATGGTCCTGCCTGTATCAAGTGAACTGCATCAGATTTAAATCTAGCTTTACTGGACACTCAAGTCTCTTCAAAATAAGTCTCTTTGAGCTCAAATTTGTCTGGGTATTCATTTCCACTCCTCTTTTATTCTGTAACTTTAAAGTAATGAGGCAGCCTCTCCACCCACGCTAAGAGGGTGGTGGAGATACAGTACTAGAAAATCTAGATCTGGAATGGATCTTTGTTATTTCCTCCCTAGGGATATCTGACATGATAGTAAGCCTGTCTGCCTCATCTTACCCCCTTCTTTACTGGACCACAAATACTGGAACTTTCCAGAGGTATTAGTTATAGCCATTGTCTAGGAGTGGAAATCTACAATGGACATGTGTCAGGTCTGAATGAGAAATACAGTAGCTGGGATTTAGAGAAAATCTTCAGAAAAGCCTGCTCAGATTCTGATTCTTGAGTTCCTTTCTAGTAATTTATTACTCATATCTTATAATACCAAGAATGGTGGGGGAGAAATGAATCAAGGTAAAAGGACCCAGCTGATCCCAGTCTCTTGAGTTTCCTGGAGCTACAGCATACAGAGAAACACGGACCAGTCATGCTGCCATGTCAAGCCCCTAGAATGAATGCAACTCAGCTGTGTTCTGAGGAATAAGCTGGTGTTCTCAGAGAATGCTGGAGGACTCCCCTACCATGAGCTGAGATCACTGCATAGCAGATGGAGCCATTATCTGATCACTTGAGCCTGGCTTTTAGTGTCACTCTGAGCAGACTGATTGTACTGAGTGACTTTAGCATAAATCAATTTAGACCATTGTTCTTTGTGTTGGCACAGACATTGCCAACTCCCTGGGACTCTATGGATATGTGCTGTTACCTTAGGTAGCCCTCCACCCACTCACGCGTGTGTGAAGAGGAAAAATATAGGAAAGCATTGGAGGACTGGGCTCAGTGCTTAGGTCTGCAGGCAAAATGACAGCCTCAAATAGCCTCTGCACCTATTTAACCAATCTTCCTCCTCTATGAGAAATCATGCCTTCAATCATAGAAGTTCTGCTGAAAAATCACCCCAGGGAGAATCTGCTCAAAATATTCATTTCCAGAAGAAACAGCTGAGGCTCAAAGAGTTTAAACTGTTCTGCCATTACTTACATACTCATAGTCAGACTCAGTATTTGAGCTTGACCTTTTCTGTCTGTCTACTGTCAGTCCTATCTGACAATAGCATCCATTTGCTTCTCCCCAACTTAAGGTAAGCTGTTCAGCTGCTCCCACATGTTTAACAACAGCTGGTTATTTAATTTGAGTCTGGAGTTTTGAACCAACTAGACCTGGATTACATCTCAGCCCTTCAACTAAAAAGTCGCATGACTTTGATAAAGTTGCTAAATCTTAACGATGTCGTGAGGGTAAATGGAACCCAACTGCAATATAATCATGTCTGGCCTCTCTCCCTGGGAGCTATTATTGCTATGACAAAACTTGAAAAGTCTAGCTTCTCTGGGCAACCCTATAGAATGGCAGTCAGGGACAGATAGCCCTTTCTCCCCCATTCCTACTCTCAATTTTCTTATCTTTCAAATAGCAATAATAATAATATCTACTTGGTAGAGTCACTATGGGACATGCTTAATACATTATAGGAAATTTTCAAATGACAGCTATTATCATGTACCTTTGGCTATATTTTATTTTAAAGAAATATCTCACGTCTGGCAGAGACATGGTTTGCCCATGGAAGTACAAGATACTTTCATCTTGGATGATATCACTATGTTCTGCTGATCAGAAAATTTTCAAACCAAGAAAAGAACAAGTAACTGGAGGGGAGAATTATTTGGAATGGAGTATCATCTTCTTAATCATTGTCACTTTACCTGGCTGTTGAATATGAGAAGAACTCATCTCCTGCGTTACCCTCCGTTTTCACTTTCAGAGAGACAGGTGCTCCATAGAAGTGAACCATTGTAAGATATGGGCCTGTCTAATTCTTGAATTAAGAAATAGGATAATTCCACTTTCTATTCCTGACTCTATCCATGCATTAACTTTAATTCAGTCTCCACCCCCAAGTGAACATCTTAAAAGGATACTGTCCTTGACCTTCAACCAGGGAAATTTTCCGCATCTCCCTCAGCAGCTCTCTGTAACTTGGGAACTTTGTAACTGGAGCATTAGCTCTTCCCTTCAGCTCTTCCCTTTGTACCCACACAGTGGATCCTCGGGGTCTTCAGATTTGAGGGAGGTTTGTAGGACCCAAAATGCTAAGGGCATTCACACGTACTGGTGGATGGAGACTTTACATTTGGGAGTGTTTCACAAACTGCCTCTAGTACAAAGACTTGCTACCCCTTCAGCATTGTTTTACCACTCACTGGTTCTGTGTGGCCGCTGAATTTTAACACACTGCTGACTGGGACTTCACTGTGATGGTTGGTATCGTTTACCCACCCTCACCATATGAGCCAAATACACCATGGTAATCAGGAATTTTATTATGTAATATGCTTAGAGGATCTCAGCGACAACCAGCAATCACAGGCATCATTTCTGCAGCCAAACTCTAACACTAAACAGAGGGGACAGACTACATAAAGATTTGGATTTTTCCAGCTCTGGTTTTATAAATAGACAAGTTAATGCTGAATATCACCACAACAAACTCTTTCAATTTTCAGAATTTTTTAGATTTTCCTATTTAGAGAATCAACCTTTGAGGATCTGAACCTTGTTTCTGGTGATTATTTTTTGAGACAATGTGGGGGACTGGGAGAGCATACTCAAGAGACCAAGAGATGTGATTTCAGGATTTGAGGGAGATTTGTAGGACCCCACATGCTAAACTCTTGCAAATTTCTTACTAATCCTTTTCACAAGGGACAATCTCTTTTCACAGAGACACTTGTAAATGCAAACACCACTGAGAGAGGAGATCTATAAACTGATGTCACAATATGCAGTAAATGTTGGTGGCAAAGTCATCTCATCTTTTGAGAACAGGAAATGAAAAGGCAAAAAAACTGGGTACTAAGACATGACCTTGCTGAGTTGTGGGAAGGTGCACATACAAGCTCAGCCTGCAGAAATTAGGGGACATATTTTGCTGAAGCTAGTCTCCATTAGTCTGGGCTTTTTGCTGGTTCACGGGAATAGTACTATCTCTGCAGTCCAGTGTGAAATCAGAGGTTTGTCCAGGTACTTAAAACCTTAAGGAGGTTTCTCAGTTGGAGGTAAGGATGTGCAGCTTAGTTCAGGTGTGGAACATTCCTCCCTGACTATAAGATTTAGATGCTCTGAGGCTGTCTGATGCAGAAATGAGTGATTGGTACCTTGTCCCACTCTAACTGGGCAAACTTGGGAAAGCAATGTGCTCTCTTGGAAACTTAGTTTCCATGTCTGTAAAATCTGGATGCTAGGATTGTTCTCCAGGACTGTTGAGACTGTTAACAACACAATGTGTGTGGAGCGCCCAGCCTAGGACTTGGGTATGCTAACCCTTAATAAGCATGAGTGGCCTTTGATCTCTCAGTCTCCCTGCCCTTGTGATTATAGTACCTACATCTTAATGGATCTACATTGATTGTCAGGCTATTCTCACTCTATCTCTGGCCTTCTTTGAAACTGATAATGAGATTAGAATATTTTAAGGCGTAAGCCAACTACAGAATACCTATTCCCAGATCTTGAGAACACGGTAATACCCATTCACAGGGGTGAATGGACATTAGAGTAGCTGTATGGTAATCTAAGTAATATCTCCAAGATAATCAGTCCTGGCTTAAGTTGATGTGATAAAAAGTTAGAAAAAAATGACTCCCGTGGCCCAGTATAGTGTCTAGTTAATGTACTGTCTGGCTTGTACTGTTCACATCCTTTGTCAACTTTCTTTTTAATATAAAGATTAAATTCTAGCCAAAAAGTATGCTTTAAGCTCACATTTGTTCATTTAGAAGACCTAATTTATAAAATTCCTCACTGACTGAACTTGAAGTAGGGCATGGGGATGATTTTTGAAAAGTATCCTTTCCCCAGCCATGAAGAATAAGACTGTTCACGCTGTGTGAACACAGATACACGAGTGGTATCGCCCTGAAACTTGGCAATTTAGTTTGTGAGGGTGCAGACTCCCACAGCACTCAAGAGCCCACTTCCCTTGGAAACATAATGTGGAAGTAGTGACTTATCTGTTTCCTGCCTCAACTCAGTTCAGCCTTGCTCCATAAAGCCCAACCCTAGAGCCACCAGCTAAAGCCGTCTTTGTCCCAACAACCATGAAAAAGTTGTAAGTTATTAGAAACTTGCTTTTCTCATCACAAAAGTTTGTGGAGAAAATAATCTGAAGCACTTACCAATCGGTGCAGATTCTGCAACGGACGGGCGAGAGACTGGAGGAAGAGCTTGCTGGGAGAGGCTGGGCTGTTTCTCTGTGCTGTGGCTGCTGCTGCCCAGCTCGGCTCCAGCTCCTCTTATCTAGGGACCAGCTGCTGCTGTTGCCATGGGGATGCTCTGTTTCTCAGACACCAGGGCAAGGGGGATGGAGAGAGAGAGAACTAACCTCACCATCACTGCTCTGCACAGCAATAATTGCATTTTACAAAAACACAACACATACAGTACTGCTTTGTGTTCCTAAGGTGTGTGCCTGAGAAAGCCAGAGTGGCTACTACACCTTTAACCTCCCTAAAAACCCAGCACATTTGTTTTTGTGTCCTGACATTGCAAGTATGGAAACTGAGGCACTGAGTGGTTAAATAGCTTGCCCTAAATGTGCAGCCCTCAAAATTTTGACCCTCACTTCAATTTGCATTTAATCCAACCCTGCTGTCTTTCAGAGTAATGTCATGATGAAGACAGGGATGGTAATAATGGTAATCACTAATATTTATATTATGGCGAACATTCCATGTGCAGGTGTTTCTTAGGGTTTAGAATAACCGATAGGAGTTTAGGCGGGTAATATAGAATTCAAAGAAAATCAGTTACTTAGCAGGTGGAATTCAAAGGAAACTTTTACTCTGCATTTCTAAGTTCCTCAAAACTCAGCCTGGAGGTAAGGGGGAGGTTGTTAACTAACTTAGCTTCTACCAAAGAAGTTTCTTTCTGGAGAGTCAGGGTCCTTAACTGCTTGTCTTTACCTTAACTCTTTTTTCTTTTGCATTTCTAAGCTTAACTATCTGTATGGCTTGAATTAATTCTTAACTCCAGGGGTATGTGCTCCTTTCTTTGTAATCAGCCAACCGTTTTTTAAACATTGCCCCTTAACTAACTGCCTGCTCATCAGCTGAATAGCTTAACTGCCTCTTACACTAGCAGAGATTGGAAGGATTTGAGACCCCTGAGGGTAGCCTGGAGACCACACAGTGATGCACAAGAGATAGGTTTTAACAGAAGGTATGTTGTTTCCTTTCTTTTGGGAGTTGGCATACAGTACAGGTTCTAGGAAACCCCTTACTGGCATAGAGGCATTGGTGATATAGTGGTTAGCATAGCTGCCTTCCCCTTATTGGCTATAACTAATGGCAATGGTTTGGTTGATGTTTCTACCCTATTTGCCAGCATCATAAATAACAAGGCTGAAGCCGTAGTCAACCTATGCTGACACTGACTCTTAGAGTTGGAATTTCTTCAGAGGCCACTGCACCAAGTCAGTAAAGGCTAGACTTCTTTGATTTAGTTTGCTGGAGTTCTTTTGCAAGCTTCTGGAAAGAGATGGAAGTTGCCATAAGACTTCAATCCTGGTCAGGAGGGACCTGAGGTGCTGAGGGGCAGTTTCCAGAATCAGCCCTGTTTCCAAGCTACATGTTTCTTCTTTCAACAGCTTTGTCAGCCGCTGTGTTAGCAGCACCTTCCTTCCAAACTTGAGTGGCAAAGATACAGTTTCTTCCTACACTTTTACATTCTTTTTTTAAAAAAGTGAAAACTTTTTGAGAGAATTATAGGTTTACGTGGAATTGTAAGAATAATACAGAAAGAACCCCCAATGCTAACATCTCAAACTTTTCTTACACTACCCCAACCAGTGCACTGATATTGATGCAGTCATGGAAGACCATCTGTCCAACACAGGTCTCCCTCATCTTGCCCCCCTAGGCACACACATCTCCCTCCTCCCCATCCTGGTCCCACACATTCATTAACCCTTGACAACCACTAATCTCTTCTTCACTTCTATAATTTTACATTGCAAAAATGTTATAAAAATGGAGTCACAGAATGTACAATCTTCTGGGGGGGGCCTTTTTTCACTCAACATTATTCTCAGGAGATACATCCAGGTTGTTGCTTGCATCAGTAATTTGTTCCTTTTTATTGCTGAATAGTATTCTTTGGCAAATATCAGGCTATTTAATTGTTCACCTGTTGAAGAGCATCTGGGTTGTTCTCAGGTTTTAGCCATTACAGATAAAGTTGCTATGAACATTTTCACAGAGGCTTTTGTACATACGAAATTTTTCATTTCTCTGGGATGAATGCCGAGAAGTGCAATTTCTAGCAATTGCATGTTTAATTTTATGATAACATCAAAGTGGCTGTTTCAGTTCTCACTCTCACCAGCACTGTGTGAATGCTCTAGTTTCTCCATATTTTTGCCAGCATTTTATATTTCTAAAAGTCATTATTTTAAAAAAGTCATTATTATAGGTTTATAATATCTCACTATGGTTTTAATTTGCACTTTGTGGATGGCTAAAGTGTTAAGCATGTTAGTATGCACATTTGTCATCTGTGTATTTTTTTGTGAAGTGTTTCTTCTTGTCCTTTATTCACTTGCTAGTTGTATCGACATTTTTATGGTTAAATTTTTGAGATTCTTTATACATTTTAGATACTAGTCCTTTATCAGAAATGCATTGAAAGGAACAGTCAGTGCCTCAAATTTTCTTTTTTCTTGAGCAATTTTGCACATTTGAATCCAGTAATCAGAATAACTGATCTGAAAACAACAATATGCAGTATAAGAACCATTGTTGAACTCCTACCATCTTATATGGTAAAGCTCTGCATCATTTCCAGTGTTTGCTTTATTGCTTGTTACTGTCTTTGATTGTTTGATCAATCTTACACTCTTACGTCTGGTGAACTGAGCAACTTTGTTGAAGATAATAGTATATAATGTAGCAACCATTGTTAATTCCTATCATTTTGTCTGAGGTCATGTATCATTTTTGTTGTTTTTATGTTGTTTTGATTTTGTCTTATTGTTCTTTTGTTAGTCATACACAGTTGAGATATTTCCACTTTTTTTCAAAGAATATAAACTGTTTTAAGGTATAGTAGCTTGCAGATTTTAACAAATTCTTTGTTGTTTAATTTCCGAGGTGCAAAGGGAATATTTTCAAAAAGAGGAGTAGGAACTTCTCATGCCCTTTTGGTCGGACATGTATACTTCTCCTCAGTACAAGTTGTTGCTGTTGTTGATTTTTCTCCCAGGGCCTTCTACACACACTTTAATTGATCATGCCCATCCCCCCTTTAAGGCAGATGTAAACAGCAATGGAGATGGCAGATGGTAATGTAAATCTATACCTTGGAGAGCTCTAAATAACAGCTGCATGTGTACTGTGCTGAAGACTGTGGCCTACAGTGCTCTCAGAGTAAGTGCAAGGAGCCATTGTGACCATGACATGATTTGTGTGTCCAGAGGCCTTCTGCTGTGTGACAGAATTGCCTTCTGGCTTCATTTCTGGTGGATGTCCAATGGTAACTAGCTTTAAATGAATATATTTTTATTTTAATCACAAATATTCCATCTCTATGAAAAAGATTGATCATAATAATGAACATTTCCAGATGATTTATTTCAGTCAATAATTTATAAAATGTCCACTTAAATATTTGCCTTTCAAAATCAAACTAGGGAAGTTTATGTGTTGGTGAGTAAAGAGCCTCTGACATTAAGAATAAGGTGTGTGTGTGTGCTGTGTGTGTGTGTGTGTGTGTGTGTGTGTGGAGAGAGAGAAAGAGAGAGGAGAGAGGGAGAGGGAGAGGGAGAGGGAGAGAGAGGGAGAATGAATTGATTGCAGGCTAGATTTCTCCCAGAAATCTTACTAGATCTCTTTGTCCCAGTCCCTCAGGGAGGGGATTAGCTGTCTCAGATCAATATCTTCTGGTAAATAAGTGTCTATGTGCTTGTATTGGGCAAATGTGAACATATTTTAACTCTTGATAATAGGGATGATACATTAGAGTTTACCTACAAGAAAATCTAATATCATCTGTCTCCATTTCATTGAAATTACAATATAGAACATATCTGATCTTCCATGTGTTGTCTGATGTTAGTACCTACTAAACCAAGAGGTGAAGAGTTGTCTTTTCTATTTGATTTCAATTGAAAATTTTAAGGAGATAATTATAGACTCATACATAGTTGTGAGAAATAATGTATAGTTGTAAGAAATAATAGATATAATTCTTTTGTATGTTGTGATCATTTCTTCCTAAGTGACATTTTGTGAAAGTATAGGAGAATATCTCAACCAGAATGTTGGTCTGGGTCCAATCTGCCTAGCTTTTTCATATCTCCCCATATGTATGTGTATATATTCTATACAGTTTTTTCATCTGAATAACTTCATATATCCACTACTACCATTAAGACATTGAATATTTCTCCAGCACCATAAAGGTCTCTCATGCTGTTCCTTTACAGCCACGCCTCCTCCTTCTACCTTTCCAGTCTCTACGGTCATTCTTAGCAAGCACTAACCTGTTCTTTATTTCTACAATTTTGTCACTTCAAGAATGTCATGTCCTATGTAATCATTGGTGTTGGCTTTTTCTGTTTAGAATAATTCTCTGAATAGAATAGAATAATTGGTGTTGGCTTTTTCTGTTTAGAATAATTCTCTGCAGCTTCATTGGGGAAACTGCATGTGCATAGGTCATTCTTTTTTATTGCTGAGAAATATTCCAACTCATTGGTGTGGCACAGATTATCTAACTAGTCACTTCTTGAAAGCTGATTCAGTTTTCTTCTATTACAAATAAAGGTGCTAGGAACATTTGTGTACATGTTTTTGTGTGAATATAAATGTTAGAGGCTGGGGATTTAGCTCAGTGGCACAGTTCCTGCCTGGCAAGTGTGAGGTCATGAGTTCGATTCCTGGTACTGGAAAAAAAAACAAAACAAAAAAAACAAAAGAAATTTTAATTTCTCTAGGATAAATGCCCAAGAGTACAGTTGCTGGCTCATATGGTAATTTTATGCTTAATTTTAAAAGAAATTGCCATGCCCTTTTCCAGTGTGGCCCTATCATTTTTCATTCTCACAGCAATGGGTGAGAGATCTAGTCTCTGCATTTTCACTAGAATTTGATATTTTCACTATTTCATTGTTTTTCACTTTAGCCATCTTGGTAGGTGTGAAGTGATATCTCACTGAGTTCTTAGTTTTCATTTCCTTGATAGCTAACGTTATTGAACATGTGCTCATGTGTAGCCTCTTGATCAAAAAGTTTTTTCACG